TGTGCCTCTTTGTCGCTCGTTCCGCGCTCTCGCTTGCACTTCAAGCCTTAAATGGAACGCCTCAGAGCGAGGTAACGCCGCATGAGTCATGTTTTTTCGTGCGTGTAGCCGGCTCCATCGAATTATAAGACGTTGTCACGTCAAAAAATGATGTGGCAACCCTGTGTAAGGCGTCATATGCCAGGAGCAGGTTCACGACGGCGATGCTTGTAGAGGTCGACCGTCGGCCGTCGTCGCGATGCAAACTTTAGTTCGTGAACATGACACTATGTTTGAAACGACGCGACGTGTGGCAATTTCGCATACCTAGTACCTTCCGGTAGCAAGATACTTGTTTGTAGTAGAATACTCTCGGATCAGTTTCAGGAAGCAGCAGAGCTGGTGGGTTTGTTGCTCACTAGTGATACTTAGAAGACGGGCGAATGTCTATATGAGCCCTTAACTTGGTTAACACGGCTTCTACTTGCTATATATGTATGTCCCGACATGTACGTAACATAAATTAAAGTGCTTCTGTAACAGTAGTCACCTTGATGAGAGTAAGATCTCGTTACTGGCACGTTGAACGACCTCCTTTGCCTTCTAACCTGGGATTCGTATATGTAGATAACTACTACGTAACAAAGACATGCAAGGCAATGGTTTATGAGAGAGATCGTTACTTTAATCAAGGATTTTCTATTGTCTCGGTGGATATTTTGAATTCAAAGAAAAAGAATGAGAATTCATAGCAATTGCTTTATATGTAATGTTCATTTAATTGGTGTTGCCAATAGATATCATTATTTATATGAGGATATAACACCACCTAAAATTACTTAATATGAAATATTATACTGAAAATTCAATTTCTGATTTTTTTTTACCCACCACACGCTATCTCAAATTAATGAGGGAAAAATTGTTGCTATTGTCACACCCGGCAGCGTTCGACATCTGTCTCTCTCCTACTTGAGTGAGCGATGCGTCCGCGTGGACAGCTGCTATACAATAATACATTTCCATTTACCTCCTTTTCTATATTCATACAAAATATCTATCAAACAAATAAAATTAAAATTTTCTTTTGAAAAATGAAACCATTCCATCAGTATTTTTTTATGACGTTGTCACGTTCAACTATCGTCANAAACAGGAGTTAGGAGGGGTAGAGGTAGACCTAGATTAGATTACTCTTCGCAAATAGTTAAGGATGTGGGTTGTTCTAGTTTTAGGGAAATGCGAAGTTTAGCTCAGGATAGGAAAGAGTGGAGGTACGTGTCCAACCAGACTTAGGACTGATGACTTTATGATGATGATGATGATAGTAATTTAAAAGATTGGAGGTTTAGAGTGTGGATGTATAGAAGAATCCTCAGAATATCATAGATGGATAAAAGAACAAATGCAGAGGTTCTGAGACGCATGGGCAAGGAAAGAGAGACTGTTAACAGTCAAAGGACGTGAGATAGAAGACCTGGGACAAACCTATTATGAGAGAAAAGAAATGTGAACTTCTACAGTTGATAATCCAGGATGTAAACAAAAGAAGAATCTAAAGGTTGCAAAACCTGGGATAGTGGATCAAATACACTTCTAACCAACTTTTTAAGTGGCCACGTCTAAAGTAGAAATAGCAATGGTGACTACGAACCTTATACTCAGAGATATGACACTTGAAGAAGAAGATAGTAATTTCTTAAATCGCTTGTAACCGTTTCTTCTCAAATCCAGATCCACTAGGAATGGATAATGTCGCTTCATAATCTTCATAAATCGAAAATTCTTGCATGTGTGAAAAGTAACTACTTATGGATTTAACGTTAATTGCACCCTTCAGAAATAATAAAATCGAATAGGAGTTGCAATCGTACCCTTCCTTCTAAGGGTTGGTTCGGTAATAATTAGAAAAGAAGTCGGATATAAATACATACGTGTATATTGAAAAAAAAAATGGCATGTTCTTATATTTTGTTCGTTTTGGTAGTACAATACATTCCCATGTCGTGACGTTAAGCGTTTCAGCTGATTCATTCAATAAAGAAATCACTACATAAAGAACCATGTATTTAAAGTCTTACGCTTCAGCTGTTTTATTTACAAGGTCAAGGTCAGATTATCGTTGTTACTATTATGTGTATGAGTTACTCGTAGGTGCTCCCGTTTAAAGTAATAACGATTTGCATCCAAGCTTGAACTTAATCATTTTCAGGGTGGTGGAATATTCTTAAAAAACTATTTTTTCTTCGGATCATCCGAATTTATTTTGTAAAGTTATGAGTTACGTATAACTGAAACGAACGTCTCATTGTATGTTATTCTCAATTCTTTCAGAAGATACGTTAAATGCGATGGATCCAGAAGTGAAACGTTTGTGGTTAGACACTCATTCTCATGCATCGTCTTCAGTTAGTTCTGAAACTAGTGAGTCGGATTGTTATTTTTCGTGGCCAACAAGTTTTTGGACTCAATTTAAAGTGTTATCTCAACGAAATTTTCTCGAAGCAAGACCACGTATGCTATCAAAGTTAAATCTTATTCAAACATTAGGACTGGGACTTCTGGCGGGACTGCTTTGGTTCCAGCTGGATCGGAAAGAAGAAGCTTTACACGATATCCAAGGTTGGATGTTCTTCTCTACCACTTACTGGATGTTATTTGCTCATTTCGGAGCCCTCAGTTCGTGTACGTTAAACTGATAAATAATTGTGACGGTCAAGATAATTTAATTATCAATTACAGTTCCACCAGAAAGAGAAGTGATTTATAAAGAACGAAGATCGGGAGCCTACAGGCTATCGGCATATTATTTAGCGAAGATGATGGGCGAATTACCTCTTATTATCACACTTCCAGCAATTTACCATCTGATTTCGTATCCCATGCTAGGTACGAATTAACCACTAGGTATGTTTAAAACAAGTCTTCATTCAAGTCTTCGTTTTGTAGGGTTTCACTCACCAACTGTGTTTTTAACACTTCTGGGATTTCTTCTCTTGAACACGGTGGTAGCCCAAAGCGTTGGTTTCTTTATCGGCGCTTCGTGTATGGACATGCAAGTGAGCATCACTATAAGTGCCCTGTACACGTTGGCAACGCAACTATTTGGAGGTTATTTGGCTACCAATATTCCACCTTGGTTTACGTGGATGAGGTACTTCTCCATGGTACATTACGCGTACCAGAATATGCAAATCGTCGAGTTCAGCGAAGGGCCGATTCGGTAATCTTTCCTTCTTTTTAATTCTAGTTGCAAAGTGTTATTTAGTTTGCATGCTTTTCCAGATGCGCAGCGCAGTCGAAGTTTGAAGTATGTGGCAAGAGCAACGTGAGTCACATACCGACAGATGCCATTTTAGAGGCGCAGGGTAGCTACCTCCCGCTATGGGCGAACACGTTGGTGTTGTTGGTGTTCCTGTTAGTGTTTCGAGTACTGGGCTACGTTGTGCTCCGATACTTTCGCACTCCCAAGTGACCATTTCGTAACCTCTCCCATAACCAAATGTGATAATTCCCAGAAAATCCTCCTGGGACATTAACTCGTCGTTATTGATATTTAAGCTTGATAATAGCTGCAGAGACTGTTTGTTGTTTTGTACTCGTACTGTTTTTTAAAGTATAATAATATAAAAAAAAGTGACTGTTTCGTACAGATTATTCTGAACTGGCTGTGCTAAATATTATTAAATTTAAGCTAGAATACTTTACTATTAGTTCTTGTAATGTTTTTAAGTTAAGTTCTTGTATATTTTTTAAAAGCCGACGTATTCATTCCAACTAATTTCGTGTGCAAGAGGTTGGAGACGTGACCTTGATTGTATATTATGGGAGGGTTGTAGGTACTCCTGATAAATTATTATTATTACTACTCTATTATTATTATTATTATTATTATTATTATTGATATTGTTGATATATTCAAAATTGTTACATTTAGGCAATCGTTGATTACATGAAAATGACTATCATATTAATACTTGTTGACGCTGAATAAATTTTTTCGAAATAATTTATAATCAAGGTAAGTCTACATACGCTAAATAAATTACTCTATTCTGTATGATTTGGTGTCTGAGATAAGACAATGTAACACGTGAAACATCACAATATGAACATCACATTACAAAAAAAAAAAATGAATTTCACTGCTGTAGGCAATTCGGTTACTGACGAAAAATTTACAGTTGTTTTTTTCAAATATAATGTATATTATGTCTATATATATAATACACAATAAGTGACTTCTTCCAGTTTTTAGAAACTTAGTTTTTATATATATTTTTTTGTAATGCAGTGATGTATTTATTACAATTACAAGAAATTCTTCGTAAATGTGCATTACCCAACCCGTTACTAAAATGTTACCTGCCTGAAGTGCCATCCCAGTTTTCTTGTTCAATGCCAAAGACCGTCAAGTCTAAAAAGATGCCGCACAAAACGTAAAAAAAAACGACAATAGAAGTAACAAACAACCCTTAGTGTTTAGGTTTTCTGTTACGTTGTCTTTGTAGAATTGAACCTATATAGAAGAACCAGGGATGTTGTAATTCTTCTCTAGCTACATACTGATTTAAATGTGTTGTTGAATGATTTACGAAAATATTACATTATCAAATGCGTTTGTTTTTAAATCAATTCCAAAATATCGTACGTTTGAATGCTCAAATCAATTTTCTAACCTCATTTGTCGAAGTGGTGTGAATGACCGTAACCAAAAATTTTTGGACGTAGATAGTGCCTTAATTGTTTCCATTTGTTAATGTAACTTTTTCGTAAATCGGAAACTGCGAAAGAGTGAAATTGGTTCCGTTATGTGTGCCTTTACAATTAATCACCAGCTACAATGAACTGCCAGATCTGGTTAGAGCTCAGTAAAAGCTAAAAGCCGGATAATCCGTTTTTGCCATGTATCGACGATTGAAATTGTTTGAATTGTAGGGTGCGTTTATTCATTTATTTTTGTCGCTATTTTATCTGAGATTATGATTACCAGTCAGTGTTCACAGCAAACTTAGTCAAAGTTTGGTCCTCACAGACATTGTTGACAGTTCACGTTGTACATACATTCGGTCAGTCATAGGAGAACATGTTTGTTTCATCTCTCGCCATCAGCTGACGAACATGCTGTGTTGGACGGTGTAAAATAACCATATACATAATTAATAGCAAAGTACCCATGTAAGTGTAAAACATCTGTCTATTTATTGTACAAGTCCCGGAAGTGTGTCCCAAAATTGATTGATGCCAACCTATCAAACGAATTATAATTACAAATTTATTTGTCTTTTCGAGTTAAGGCACGATTTCGTTTGTTTTGTGTTTGAAGCGTGGTGATATTGACGTGACAACGTCTTATAATTTGATGGAGCCCCGGCTGCACGCACGAAAAAACGCGACTCATGCGGCGTTACCTCGCTCTGAGGCGTTCCATTTAAGGCTTGAAGTGCAAGCGAGAGCGCGGAACGAGCGACAAAGAGGCACAATCGGCCTCCGCGTTCGGCAGCGTTCGACATCTGTCTCTCTCCTACTTGAGTGAGCGATGCGTCCGCGTGGACAGCTGCTATACAATAATACATTTCCATTTAATTAATGTTTGAAAAATTGTAAAATCTTAATCTTTATTAAATAAAAATAATAAATGTCGTTGTTACTGCTGTCATCTTTCGCAGCTTAATGGTAAGGAATTGGTGCGTAAATCCAAGGGCTTAGGCTCGATTCCAGACAAGGGCGTGACAGCAACGACAATTTTTCTTCATTAATTTGATGTAACCTTTANAATTAAAATTTTCTTTTGAAAAATGAAACCATTCCATCAGTATTTTTTTATGACGTTGTCACGTTCAACTATCGTCAGTAAACCGACTTTACAGACAACGGATTTTTTTTTACAAGTGTTTCGGAAATCTCGGACGTACACTTGCAAATTTACTTTTTTTGTTCATCGGAATGAAATGTAACACATGCGTTGAGTTGAACATGATACCCACAAATGATATGGAGCATGAATCTTGATTACGAAATCGAAAATCACAAACTTACGAATGGACACTGGGATCAAAAGATTTCTTCAAAAACGCCGAAACGATTTCGGCAGTTCTTGAAGATTTCATTTACAATATCATGTAAGATAATACATTTTGTATTTGCTGTATGCAGCTTGCATTTTTACCTAAGTATTTCCTCTTATGTAATTTTTGGAAGTATAGTGTTTTAGCTTTAAGAACTGACCAAACAAATACTGCCATTTTTGATGAGTATTTGCACTTTGATAGCCAAAAAAATTTACTGTGTTGATGTCAACGACGCTCCCTTTGAACCGTTTTTAGAAACATTGAAATTCTTTTGAAACGAACCAATTATTACTTCAGCTAATGGTTATGCCTTAATATGTATAATAAATAAATAATAAATCGAAGGGAATGTCGTTGTCGAAAATGGATGACTGTTACTACATCAAGACGTTAGAATAATTCGTACAAAATTGTGACATAGGAAATATTATTACTATCTACCACTATTATTACAACATACATACATACATACATCTAAATGTTTGCATCTAATATCGCTTTCTTTTGTGACTTACACTACATGCCCACATTTCAAAAAGCTTTCGAAGAAAGAGCAATCGTCAGAGCCGAAGTGTAGATCACAACGGCTGATTATTGTGTGGGCCTTTTTATATCCATATCGTACTAAATGTTAGAATTTTAACCTTCTCAATATTACTTCCATACTACATATTATGTGTAAAGTGTACAAAACCCTGTACGTAGTTTGTTATAGCTAGTCTTAGCCTCTTCATTTAAGATTTATTTATACGATTATTCATCATTACAATCAATAAAGACTTTTATTATTACCACATTTTATTTCCTTTGTAACATGTGAAAACTATCAATTCAGAACTTAAGCCAAAAATTACCAAAGAAAGAAATACCAATCAATTTCTTAGTTTTGGTGCCTGCTCAGTCATTACCAAATATACCAAGTTTGACTAATGGAACGCAAACTAAAGATTTCGTATTCAAACACAGACAACTCATGATTTTCCTTAATTCATTCAGTTTTGGTTACAATTTCTAGAAATACCTAAAAGGAACCACATTGATCCATACAGTTAGCTGGTCTAAAAGAACTTCATTTTGAAATGAATTTCAGCTTTGTATCCAGGCAGGGATAAAAGTTATGAGCATGGAAAGAAGTGTTTGAAATTGTTCCATAGGTCAGCTTGTTTTGCTAGTTTAACCTGGATTTATTATTCATCTGTAGGTATCATATGAAGACGTAAAATCAGAATCCAAAAATTTTATTCAAAATACAAAGAGCCTTAAATGTTATTAATGGAAAGCAAACTAAGGATTTTGTTTTCAAACATAAAAAACTCATGAACTTCCGTAATTCATTCAATTTTTGTTACAATTTCTAGAGGTACCTAATAGGAACCAAATTGATCCATACAGTCAGCTGGTCTAAAAGAACTTCATTTTGAAATTAATTTCAGCTTTGTATCCAGGCAGGGATAAAAGTTATAAGCATGGGAAGAAGTGTTCGAAATTCTTCCATAGGTTAGCTTGTTTTGCTAGTTTGACTTAGATATTCACCTGTAGGTATCATATAAAGACGTAAAATCAAAATCCAAAAATTTTATTCAAAATCCAAAGAGCCTTAAATGTTATTAATGGAAAGCAAACTAAGGATTTTGTATTCAAACATAACCGACTCATGATCTTCCGTAATTCGTTCAATTTTAGTTACAATTTCTAAAGGTAGGTACCTCACTGAAACCAAATTGATCCATACAGTCAGCACGTCTAAAAGAACTTCAATATTTAAATTAATGTCAGCTTTGTATCCAGACGATAAAAGTTATGAAGGTGGGAAAAAGTGTTTGATATGGTTCCTTAAGCCAGCCCATTTTTCTAATTTGATCTGGATATTCATCTTTAGGTATCATAAGGAAACGCAAAGTCAGAATTCAAAAATTTTGTTCAAAACTCAAAGAGCCTTAAATGCTGATAATGGAAAGTAAACTAAGGAAACTCATGATCTTCCGTAATTAATTCAATTTTGGTTATAATTTCTAGATGTACCTAATTGAAACCAAATTGATTCATAGAGTTGGTTGGTCTAAAAGAACTTCATTCTGAAAAGAATTTCAGCTTTGTATCCAGGCAGGGATAAAAGTTATGAGCACAGGAAGAAGTGTTTAAAATTGTTCCATAGGTCAGCTTGTTTTGCTAGTTTGACTTGGATATTCATCTGTAGGTATCATATAAAGACGTAAAATCAGAATCCAAATATTTTATTCCCTTAATTCATTCAATTTTAGTTACAATTTATAGATGAATTGATACATGCAGTTAGGTGGTCTAAAGGAACTTTATTTTGAAATTAAATAACTTGATCAAACATGTACTTAAAATTTGAGTACATCTGAAGAATTATGGATTTTTATCCTCTTCTGGAGAAACGATGGCAGTAAAAAAAAAAAAACTAAAGCTGTATTAATAAAAATACGAATGGCATTAACTAGATGCTTTTTAATATTTCGCAAATAGTCTCTGGATATGTTTTCGTTTGTGGGTCAATGAAAGAGAAAGCTCCGACAATAATTTTTTCCAAAATTTATGATAACAGTAACGTTACGCAAAAACACATAGTTTTGTCTACACATCTTCAAATCATTTACCGTTAATTATACACATATGCGTACATAATTATGCACTTCCACATTGAACAAGTTTCAAATACACACGACTTGTACAAGTGGGTAGTAAGTAAATACTCTATACATATTTATTGTTCCTCTCTCAAGAAAATTTACTTTACGTTAATACTTGGGTTCAAGGTCGTTATTACGATTTCGCTGTGATGGTGTCCATCCGAAGTGAGAAATATCTTTTTGTGATTATTACATGTTGTGACCAACTTTGAAGGTGAGTGACTAGTTTATATTTTTCTAAAAGTAACTGCAAGTAATTTCACCTGTTTTACAAAATCTGCAACCCCATTAAACGTTGTAAAAAGTCCATTTGGTACGAAGATGAATTAATTACATTCCCACCTTTACTTAATAAACGCCATACGTACTTAAGTAACTGCATTAAAATTGTAGATAACTGCAAACAATTTTTTGGAGACTTAATTTTTGAAACCTGTTAATCAGTTTATTATAAATTATTAATAAAATATTTAAATAACACTAACATTATTAAAGATTTTTGGCAAGAAAGTTCGTATAATAATGTAAAGTTATAAAACAACATATCGAAAGTATCGTAATCTAGCCGCTCTCCTGCTAGCTCCTATGTGTACTAGCGAACTCGTACACCAGTTTCTTCTACTGCACGAAAGATGGTGACACATACACAAATCGGATGTTTTTCCCAAAATTCAAAAATACAGGCATTATCGCATTATAAAAAATTGCAATTGTATTTCAGCCTCAAAAAATAAATCCACATTTTCACATAACCTTCTCTTAATCATAACGAAAAATGAAAAGGGTACTATGAGTTGATGATTAAAACAAATAATTGCGTCCATAGGGTTATCATAGGTCAGTTTGATTTTCCTATCAGCATTTTAGTAAATAAGCTGTAGTCGAAAGATATAAAAATAACGATTTAGGCATGGTAAGTGTATCACGGAAGACATGCTTACTCCTGGACCATATAGACGATGTCGAAGATTGTGGCAGGCAATATTGTTTTTATTTATTTGCGCATTGATAATTGTTTGGAAAAGAAGTAATCGATTAGAAGAAAAGTCAACACCATCAAACAAACATGTCTTCAGGTATGAGAAGATGGGATTGAATGTAGCAATTCCATAGATTATTGCTTTTAATCTTCTAGGCACAATCAGGAGGAATACGTTGATCACAGGGGTGTGAAAGTAATAGTTGGTCATTACATCGGAAACGCTGTCGAAAATATACCCAATGCTGATAAGAATGTAATTAATCGAAATAACTACTCTCCAATGCCGGATGCAGGAAAGAATGGGTTTCCAGTGATAATTGAGCCGAAAGATTTGTTGGTGTCCCAGCAAATATTTCAAATAAATCGTTTTAATTTGTTAGCAAGTGATAGAATTCCTTTGAATAGAACATTGCCAGATGTAAGAAGAAAAAAGTGAGTGAAATTAATTCGTTAATAACAGACATCCTGCGAGTATCTGTTTAATTTGCTTACAGGTGTAAATTTTTGTACAAAGATTATAATTCATATCCCAAAGCAAGCATAATAATTGTTTTCCATAATGAAGCTTGGTCAACATTATTCAGAACGGTATGGAGCGTAATTAATAGATCACCAGAAGAGCTCTTGGAGGAAATCATATTAGTAGATGATGCCAGTGAACGAGGTGGGTCAATTGTCTTTTTCAACGAGTGTTCCCATCCACTATGTTTCAATCGTTCTTTGCAGACTTCTTACGTGATCCATTGGACGAATACATTAAAAAGTTACCAGTTCCAACCAAAATCCTTCGTAGTAAAACCCGGATAGGATTGGTCCATGCACGTATGATGGGTTCGCGAGAAGCTAAAGGAGCCTCGTTGGTGTTTTTGGATGCCCATTGTGAATGTACCATTGGATGGTTGGAAAGTCTTTTGGCACCCATCGCAGAAGATCGCACAACGGTTGTCTGTCCAGTAATAGACATCATAAACGACAACACGTTTGCTTATATAAAAAGCTTCGAACTTCATTGGGGGGCCTTCAATTGGAATCTTCAGTTTCGTTGGTACACTCTCGGAAATAGAGAGCTCCAGAAACGGAAGCAAAACATTACGCGTCCATTCCATACGCCTGCAATGGCCGGCGGACTTTTTGCTATCAGTAAGGAGTACTTCTTTGAAATTGGAGGTTACGATGAAGGAATGAAGATATGGGGAGGAGAAAATTTGGAAATCTCTTTTAGAGTTTGGCAATGTGGAGGAAAGGTGGTAATTGCTCCTTGTTCACATGTAGGCCATTTGTTTAGAAAATCATCTCCGTATACGTTTCCTGGTGGTATTGGGGAAACATTGTATTCTAATCTAGCCAGGGTTGCTATGGTATGGATGGATGAGTGGGGTGACTTCTATTTCAAATTTAACAACGAAGCAAGAAAGGCCAAAGAACTGCAAGACGTTCAGCAAAGGATAAAATTAAGAGACAAATTGAAGTAAGATTTCATTAAACATTTTTTGGTAGTTTTCTTTTTCATTTCATCTTACAGATGCCAAAGCTTTAGATGGTATCTGGAGAATATTTGGCCCCAGCACTTCTTTCCAACAGAAAGTCGTTTCTTTGGACGTATTAGAAATTTAGAGAAAGACCAATGCCTCATAAAACCCATAGGAAAAGAATCTTCCAATCAGCCAATGGGATTGGCCAATATTAATATATGTGTCAATAAATCTTTAACTGTTGAAATGTTCGTCATGACGGAAGATGGAATTATAATGACCGATGATTCGGTGTGTTTGGATGCTCCCGAGACAACAGTAAACAGTTTGCACAAAGTCAGAATCATGGCTTGTAGTGGTACCAGAAGACAAAGGTGGAAGTACAACAAAAAGGTAATTTACAATCATTTCTTTTTCGTTAATGGTGATAAAATGGAAAGATTTAGAAGCATTTGCTTTAAATTAAACCGATTTGTTGAAACGATCTATGGTGTGCTGATGAGAACTAATAACTTCGACTAATGTCTAGTGTTTTCAATAAAATGCCCAAAACATTATAATGTGCTTTACTAAAATTTTGTTTATACATTTTGCAAAAGTGCTTGCCTTAAAATTCCGTATGGATTTTAAGTGTCAATTAAGAAAATCGTGATGCGACTTGCAATGCATTGCTTTAGAGCATCTTTTCTAAAAAAACTGACATAATGCTAATGGTACCCATCCATCGTACATGCTAAGCTAGATCCACGACAGAGATATTACAAAAAAGCACTTTTACGAGAAGAATCCTATTCTCTTTCAACTAATAAGACTTTTAAAATACAAACCCTTCTTTTCTAAATTCTTCCTCAGAAGGAGAATACTACTTAAAATATTAGGTTTATATAAGTATATTGTTTTCTAAATTATTGAACTAATAAAGAATTATGCCGAGGATAAAGTTGCAAATGGAAACTTTAATTGATGAGGATTACGGATGGCGACAATTTAGCCCAAAGCGAGAGTAACGAAAAATTTGTGAAACATTTGGTTGATTGTTTTAATATCAACTAAATGAATCAATCATCAACAGTTCTTTGCTCTAGACTCAAGAACTAGTCCATGCGACAAATGGTTTCTGCTTGGATGTCTCATCCTCGAAGACTTTCGAAGATGGACTGATAATTTCAAATTGTACAGGAGTGCGGACCCAAAAGTGGATATTGGAACCTCATCCATGGAAGTGATACAACCATGCAAACCACTTGAATTGGACAATTGTCCAGACAAATATTGTTTATAACAACGTCATCGGAGCTTATTACAGATTATTTAGCTCTCTATTTGCATTTTCAAACTTTTTTTATGTAAATATAATTTAATATTTCACAAAGGATGCTGAATCCGGTTAATACGCTTTTCAATTATTTTCTTTTTTTCATAAATTAAGTTATTCAATGGTTCTAACAAAACTGATAGCCGGAACAGTAACATATATTGTACTTATCTACAAGTAATTCAAGCTTCAAAACATTCCAAAAAGTGTCAGCTGATGTCATCTTCATTTTTTACTAACCTGTGCCTAATTATTTAATAATAATACTAAATAGATACATATTTATTTATCTTGTACCAAATCATTAACTGACATATTTTATTTACGAATGTTTTTATTTGGCTGTTAGTTGATCTGTTCATGGATACGTAGGTAATATGGAAGGTACGCTCCGGTATCAATAAAGCATGAATTTTTACACAAATCTCACAGGTATTTCCGTACAAATCTAGAGCGAATTTGATTAAAAAAGATTTATGGAGTATATTTTTGTGACAATAATTGCTTCGTATTTAGCATATATAAATAATGTAATAAGTAATAACTGTGATGTATATTTTTATACATTCGACTTAATAAAGATATGATAATCAGATGGTTATTTTTATTACGGAGGCGTACCTTGATTATCGTAATCCGAAGCAGCATTTTTATACACCACAAACAGTCAACTACACAGATGAATATATGTATAAGTGCTGTCGTGTTACATTGTGTTCAATAACTACTTTTGTTTTATTTATATATTAATTATTTACTTTATTTATTTATAAATATGTATGCGCCGATTTAGTTGTACGGCGGTTATGTAATTGGGTGGGCTTGACGTATTAATTGTTCGGATTGTGCGTATAATAAATACATATTATTTTTAATAGAAATATCTCTTGCGGTCTTGCTCAGGCGTAAATCTAACGAAAATAAAGAACCCACATATAAGTATTAAGAAAAAAGACAAGTGACAGTGCGATTTCTTCTTTTCGTGTAAGGAGTTTTGTATCATAATTCTTTTTCCACTGATGGTAATAATCAATTTTATTGGTAATGAATTATTGCTGTAAATGCTTCCCTTAAGTTTTTACGAACCTTGTGTCCATTTCTTCATTGTAATTTCGATAGTTTCCACGATAAAAACAAGGAACTTGTTTCAGGATGTGGTCCCTTCGAGGCTAAAACGTAAGTAGGAATCTACTCTTGTGAGAATTGGTACATGGTTCGCCATTATTGTAACTACTCCCAAGGTGTCAGTTGTGATACTGTATTGTGTGCTGTATCAGCTGTGATACTGTATTGTGATATTGATATTGTAGGACTGACGACCTTATGATGACGATACTTGATACAAGAAATTAAAATGTTGTTATCAGTTAATTAAGTTCTTTAATTTATTGAATCGGCTCCTTCATGTCGAAATATTGCATTCCTTGTACTAATCACGTTAATACTGCAATATTTTTTACTTCTATATTTTTTTGAAGAATACCTAAGAATTTTATTATGTATTTATTAATTATGACAATAAATTTCTATGCAACAAACACAATTGACACCCTGGCGCTAGTTCCTATATGACCACAAGTCAGTGCAGTCACATGCCAATAGATATTTGGAGGATTTNTTGTTATTATTTTTGGCTAAATAGGCTTTTAAATAAAGCATATTCTTAAATTTTAACGAGGCAGTTTAAATAATTTTACAAATGGTACTGTACACTTTTGTCTACAAGTTGTTCTTGCAAGATGATCAGTGGATAAATGAGCTCCGCAGACAAATATGATTGAATTTGGAATTATGCTCCAGCGTATCCTAATAAAGGGAAGGGGCATATCTCTAACTTCTTGAAACGAATAGTATATGGTTTCTTCCATCTAACATTCAAATCCAAAATAACTCCCAAATAATTGTGAAACTCCATCCTTTCTGCCTTGTTGTTCAATCAATATAAACACTTAACGACTTGGGCACACTATTTCATTTATACCTTAGATAATATATTCTGTCTCCTCAACACTTAATAATTTTTTGTGCCAACTATTAGCTAGTTTACTTAGCAATCAATCTTCACGTATTATTAGCTGCTTCTTCCCATGTGCCGTCCACTGATAAAATAGCAATATTACGGGCATACGAGATAACATTATGAGACATTTCTGTTCAGAAGAGCTGCTGCGAGTGATAGACTGGATTCATAAGAAATCTTAAGTTGTAACAATAATTTACGTTTTGGAGTAATTTTTTTATTTTTATTATCATTGGTGGAATTGTAATTTTATTTTATCTAATATATCTTTATCCGTTTGTCGGTGTTATTATTTGAAATATGACCTTTTTTTTCATGAAGGTGAGTAGCCGGGCAGACACGGATATATTTTGTCTTATTTTGAGTCAGTTNTAATATCTTTTATTTCCCTCCATTTAACGACCACTCTTTATAACGCCGAAAAATGTTCAGTCCCTTAAGTGTCGTTATATAGAGTTTACACTGTAATTTTTTACGGCTAAATAGGTGATTGTCTACAATTGTATTTGACAAAATCTTTAGTGACTTACAAGCCCATTTTTTTATTAAATTCCATGTGGTTGTCACACTGTTCCAACCATCAAGGACAGAAACAACTGTAATGATATAATCTAATTATTCATTACCAGATACGAATGGAATTCTGTTCTTCTGTGTGATTAAAATCCGAGACCGCAACTTTTCTAACCGACAAAAGATCATTCATCAACCATCGGCGGAATTTTACTGTACCGAGAATTGGATAACAGTAGTCGTAGTTGACGATCTAAAACAGGCGTTGTGTTGTATTGGTTAATCCGATCGTTAGATATTTTAAAGAAATTATTTACACTTAGCCGATAAAACAAAAATACTGGTATGTAAGGGAAGAAAAAGTAGGGAAATAGGTAATATAAAGATGGGAGACGAAGAATTAGAAGAAGTGGCTGATTTGAGGTATCTAGGAAGTCAGATAAGTCAGGACGGAAGGAGTAGTAGAGATATAAAGCAAAGGTTGTTAAAGGTGTATAGGGAGCGTTCGAAATGTGGTATTATAGGAGAATGATGAGGATACCGTGGATAGAGAAGGTTAGAAATGAAGAGATATTAAAAAAAAATAGGAGAACAGAGGACTCTATGGAAGTCAATAAGAAATAGGCGAGATAGGTTAGTTGGACACCTTCTCAGGCGTAAAGGTTTAGTCAGACATATTAGAGACACAAACGGGAGTTAAGAGGGGTAGAGGTAGAACTAGATTAGATTACTGTTCGCAAATAGTTAAGGATGTGGGTTGTTCTAGTTTAAGAGAAATGCGAAGATTAGCTCAGGATAGGAAATAGTGGAGGTACGTGTCCAACCAGTCTGGACCATCTAATGATAATGATGAACCTATAAAAAAATGAAACGTGTAAAATAGACCAAAGTACTGTAAAATGACCCTTCATAAGCAAATATAAGGGATTTTGGTCTCGTACTTGCTTCCTCTGTCTACTGATTCTCTATTGATTTTGTTTGTCTTATAAGTATTTCAGTTTTGAAACTGATTTATTCATTATATAATTTTGTAACAAATATGTATTTATAGTTATCAAAATAGGATGTTTTTATGTTCTTTAAAGCGTTTCAAACTGACGGACGTAATTTGGATTGATGTTTGTGTTTTTGGTTCGTTATATATAAAATAAAACAAATTTTTCTTTCACCTTTATAATATTACCATTATTTATTCCACGTGGATCTGGTGTTTGTAAACAGTAGGCACCAAAATTTACAGCATCTAAAGGTTCATTTTCGGATTTGCTTTTTCCAAATTTTATAATATAACCTATCGTATAATTGCGTTCATCTTTGACAGAAAAGATCGAGGGTTTGCGTCGGTCGAATGACATACACTAATTATTTGATATCGTTTATTTAAAATTCTGTGTGCACGAAAATTTTTCCTTTTTGAGAGTTATGTCGTTTACGCTCTCGTTTATCGACGGATCCGATTGGATATTTATTCTGTTTATTTAATTAAAAAACAGGTTCGGTGAATTATATAATAAGTGGAAGAACCTATTTCAAAACTGAAACCGATTCTTATAGATTGTCGATGCCTATACCTCCTTCTATGAATGTAATTGAAACACCTACATAGAAGAAACTAGTAGAAGATTGAATATGAGTATATCGTAAGGAATCTTGGTGTAACGATCCAGTGGCCGTAGATTATCTGGAAAAATGAGGTAGTTGCAATAAATGATCGCTTGTCGATGACAGAAAAAGCCGGCAGACGAGACGATCTGATTTAGGAGAGACAAGGCCGATTGGTTTATGTCATATTTTTACGAGGATAACTGTCTCAAATTCTTTCTCAGGTCGTTATTTGCAGTGAACGGCGTAAATAGTGCAGCCGCGAAGAAAGAAAAACACGAATTAAATATCGTATTTTATCCGCAACAAAGCGATATCGGAGTGGAAACTGTGACAACAACGTCGTAACAATTACATCTTCCCATAATAATTTAACGGTTGCAGTCTTAAGACACTTGAACACAAAAAAACCGATCGTTTACGAACTGATATTGATCGGAATTCAGGAATCACATTAAGTTACTTCAGTCGATATCCACATCTACGGTTCTCCTTACGTTTTCCTATTACACTGCTATGAAAGAATACTCGTCTGTTTTTGAAAATTATTACCGATGTTTGAACACTTACATTTCGTCGCATTTAACCCTCCATGACACATATGTAAGGCGATTCCCCATCATAAATGCATTAAATCCCGATTAGAATTTATAGGGAGCATGACCCATGTAGTGTGCGGGCCTCGTGTGACTAATGAGGGGCATGCCAATGTTGAGATTTCCTCGTAGATTCCTCATGAAAATCCCACCAAAAAAAGTGGTGATACTAAAATGAGGATTGTCTTATGGGTTTATTGTATGGGTCTTAGGGGACAAACCTATCACATGTACAAACTTACAATTAAATTTACCTTATGAGGTGGGCTAGATGAGGCAAATCCGTTTCAAAATAAATACTCTCGATAAAATAAAAAAGCTCATAATTATAATCCCCTTGCCCAATTATGTCGTCGTTTCAATGAAATCTTTTACATTTGCAACGAATCAACAAAAGTACTTCCTGATATTGTTATTATAAGACGCATTAGGTCGAACAACATTAAAACGATTGCAATTTAATGTATTATTGACTACAAAACAGCCCAATAACTTCATCTTAGTTAAGAGTAAACAAATCTTACAAATAAGTGAATATGTATATATTGTATTTTTGTCATTAATAATAAAGTTCATTTTTCCAAAAATTTTTAATGGGGTAGCAACAATTCTTCTTTGCGTGGGCCACATACGGCATTCCTGATGATGCACAAATGCGGCAACGCGTTATATGCCCTACCCTTGCCCTAGGAGGCAATCTCTTGGGGCCCACAGGAGTTAGTGTGGCTACCCACTTAAGGACCTGCCTGCTCCCCCCTCCAAATTCTAGTCGGGATTTAATATCTTCTTTTTTAGAAACAAGCAGCCAAGTGAGCCTCGTTGTATTTTTCTAACTAACTTTAATGTCACAGATGCAGGTCTGAA